AGTTGGGGATTATTCTCTGGTCTGCTTTACTGTTTCGCTTTTATCGTGGGTCTGTCGGGCTCTAATTAGGTTTTTTGTTACTTGTTCCCCTGCCTTCACCCGTGCTTGGGTTTGGCTGGCACAAATGGCATTAACTGGGTCTCTGTTCTCTATCTCCCAACTAGGGTAACTTAAGCTATTTATTCTCTGGTCAGGGAGGAGGGTATAAGCCATTTGCTCTCAAGTGTCCTTGGTTGGGGAGACAAGGTCTTGCGATTCGCTGGCTGGCTGTTAAGTTGTTCAGACTATTGGGTCTTGTTTGACTGTCTTGTCCAGGCTGCTGCCATTTCAGCTGGAGAGTGAGTGTAGAGCCGACTTAACTCAGCGTCTTTAGGTTACACTTGAGAAACCAGAGACGCAAAGTAACTGGCCCAGAGTCACCCAGAGGATTTGTGTTAGAGCTAGAGCTTTGTGCCCACGTGGCATCACCTCCCAGAACTCCACGGGAAGGCCTGGCGGCAGACCTGAGCCTTGCTGGGCTCACCTTGCTTTTCCCTTCAGTTGAGTTTAATTCTATGCTTTTTACAGTAAATGTTCAATAAATCTCAACTGAGCCTCTGGCTGAAACAAGGACAGAGTGGGAGGCTTTAAATGTTCTCATTAGCATCCCAATTTCCTCTTTAAAAAGGCTACTTGGTCATTCTTGCCTTTTAAGTTTTATAGCCCCTGAGAAATGAACAATTGGATAATAAGGGCTGGATATGAATTCTAATTCCCTTTCCTGGAATGTACCTTTGTAACACTCTGTACTCTTTCCCTTTGAACTTGGGATATTGTAGAAATGTATGCAGAGTAGGTTTTTGGACTGAGCTGAGCTACGAAGCATCACTCCATGTCAGCTGTCCCGGTCCCAGGTTCTTAGATTTAAGGTCTGGTGCGGCAGGAAAGGCCCCAGCTGCCATCTCTCTGTCCAGATTTTCCCTAAGCCTGCTAGCTGAGAAAATAAGTGCGCTTCCAGTAATGGCTCCCTTCGTAATTGGTGCTCAGGTCTTAATTTATAGAGGAGCCCGAGTGGTGACAGGGAGAGGCTAAGGCCATTGGAAGAATTGATTACTTGCAGTTCCATTACTTAAAACCTTATGTGTTCGCCTCCCTTTTCCATTTTTATTTTTTTAATTGGATTTACTGGGGTGACATTGGTTAAGAAAATTGTATGGGGCTCAGGTATACAATCCTACAATACATCATCTGTCTATTGTATTGCATGTTTACAGCCCCAAGTCAGATTCACCTGCCTTTCTGATGGTGATGGTGACAGAGAAGGAAAGCAGTGTTCTAACTTGGGGGTCCCTCAAGCTCTACATTACCAATCGATTAGTGTCTGCCCAATGCGGTGCACAGTGTGAAATGGGGCCTCACAAAGACACTGCTATTTTTGTTAATTACTGTCAGTGCAGCGGCATCTAAAAACAAAATACCTTCCTTCATCCATTTTCTGCGGAATTCTCCTTAAAAGATGTCCTCGGAAAATTCCATCGCTCCCAGTCCCTTTCGGTAATTAAGGCCCAGTCCATCTGTAAGCTTTAAACTCACCCCGGTGCTCCCCCAGCTCCTGTCCACAGCCTCGCTGGCCCCCGTCCTCGTGGGAAGGCTGCCGTGTGCGTTACACAATTCCGGGGGCACCATTCGTGTGCAGGCATCGTCCCCAAATACGACAATCCCCACTGGAGGAGCCCAGGGGGGCTGTCCCAACACCTTTCCAGAGGAGGCTGGATGGCACTTGGGACCCTTAGCCAGTTCCGGCACCGAAAAGGACCTGTGACAAGTTGGGGCATTTGAGAGCAGCTATTTTCATCCATGGCTTTCCCTTTGGATACTTTTACCAAACAACAAAAATCAAGTTCAGCCCCAATAGCCCCACTGGTAATGTTGTGTCTTAAGCAGAATGGCAGTTTCAGGTGCTCATTTTATTATGCTTTATAACTTATGTACATGCCACATATATTCATTTTAAATGCTTTGATACAATAAATAAAGCATACATATACAAATAAGAATGCCAGTATCATGGGGATGACCTTGAATTTGCTTAAATTTTTCCTCAAATTAGCCTATTTGTAAACCTCAGTACTATAATGATTATTAGTCAGCAAACATTTACAACACATCTCATAGACCTGTTGTGATGCTAAGGTTAGAAATTATTCTGTTAAATTATTTAGAAAGTAGTAATGCCTTTTTAATTTTTACTTTTCTCACCCGAGGATATTTTTTCCATTGCTTTTCAGAGAGAGTGGGAGAGAGCCACATCGACTGACTGCCAACCAGGGCTGGGGATGGAGCCTGCAACTGAGGTATGTACCCTTGGGTGGAATCGAACCCAGGACCCTTCAGTCCGAGGGCTGATGCTCTAACCACTGAGCCAAACCGGCTAGGGCTATTTTAATTTTAAAGATTACCTTTACATACCAGGTAATTCTGTTGAAACTCGTTATAACCTATACTTGCTGTATAGGTGTGATAGGCCACTAGGTTTCTTTCAGCCTTTTTCTGGAATTTAAAGCTTCATAGAGTGGCAGAATTTTCCTCCAGCATATATGACATATAATTGGAACATTATTAGCTGCTACTTGAAGCAGCATCTAAGAGATTACAAATTTTCTGCTCAATTGGATAAGCTAAAACCTGATCTTAAAAATGATGCTTGGGCCTGGCTGGCATGGCTCAATGGCTGAGCATCAACCCACGAACCAAGAGGCTATCAGTTTGATTCCCGGTCAGGGCACATGCCTGCTCAATCCCCTCTCCCCTACACTCTCTAAAATCAGTAAAACATTTGATTAAAAAAAAAACAAAAAAAAAAAACGATGTTTGGGTCCAGGATACACAGTGTATGTAATGAATCCTGAAATGTTAATTTGGCCCAGCTGGTGTGGCTCAGCGGTTGAGCATCGACCTATGATCCAGGAGATGGTGGTTCAATTCCTGGTCGGGGCACATGCCCCGGTTTCAGGTTTAATCCCCAGTGAGGGGCATGCAGGAGGCAGCAGATCAACGACTCTCTCTCATCATTGTCTCTCTCCCCCTCTCCCTTTCTCTCTCTCTGAAATCAAAGTATTAATCTGGCGCGTGACAACCCAGAATAAAGACTGTTTCCCATCCCTCTTTGTAGCCAGGGATCAAGGAACTAAGATTGGCTTGATAAGCCTATGGGGTGTGAATAACTTGTAAGGCATGTTCTTAAAGGAAGGGGGCGGAAATGCTGACAGGACGTTCCTGGCTGGCGCAGCTTTCGGCAACCACGACACCAAAGGCATCTGCTGGGAATGGGGAGGAGCATCAGAGGGAACTGGATCCCTGACCCGCAGTCACAGCAGTCACAGCAGTCACAGCAGTCACAGCAGCCCGGGCTGCCTTCCCAGCACCTCCCTTCCAGCCTTTCACAGGCAAGAAAGAAGCGGCCTTGCTTAAGTTGCTATTGTTGGGGGTCACAGACAGGCTAATGTAAAACGCAAGCTTGAGTCAACTCCTGAACCTGAAAGGCGGGTACAGCCGATCCACTGCACCTGGTGGCGGTTGGGCCTACTGCTAACGAGGTGCAAGATGGAAGCTGGTTCCCAGCGTCACAAGCAGGGACATTCTAAGAGGTGCTTAACTCCAAATACCTGACTGGCAAAGCCTGCAAGTGCACCTAGGGCTTTAGAAACATCACGAATGTCAAAAAGTAATTGACTTTAGATGCAAAATGACTGAGAAGTCACTCCCCGTAAGAGAACTATAATGAGCAACTTAAACAAAACAAGAATGGCTTTATTTACAAAACTCAATGCATTTTACAAAGAACACATTTGCATTCCCTAAGTCTTTCGGAAAGTAATTCCAGTTTGTGCAATGAGTTTACAGGAAAAACTTAAGACATCTATTAGACATCTTAAACCTAATTTCTAAACTTTGAAAGATATTTCGCACTATATGAGGGCTGTTTTTAATTAAGAAAAACTAAACTCTGTAGTTAAATATTGCCCTTCAATATTTTTAACCCCAATACAAACCAGATTAATCTATGAAATAACACCAGATTCAAATGAATTATCTCCACTGTCCCAACAAAATGCATGCACAAAGTAAACGTGGTAAATTACATTAATGACATTTTATTTCAATACTTTTTTGACTCTCTCAACTGTTTTGCTTAATTCAGAGTATAGATAGGTACGGTTCTCATCTGGGGAAATCCTAAACCACTACTCCCTGCTCCAGAATAAGAATAATTTTCAGTATGTGGAGACAGGAGGGATTAGGAAGATTTTTAAGTAGTTTCTCCAGGAGCCTTATTTGCTAATCAGAAAAAGGCTCCCCTCCAGGCCCAATGAAGTAAAGGGATCAGTGATCTATGTCCTTACTAAGTCAGGGAGCATCCAATCCAAGCCCCCAGAGGACAACAGGCACTTCCCTCTCCTCCTCCTCCCCAAATCACGATTTGATTTTAGTGCCTTCTGAGTTGGTGATGGGGAACAGGTCCTGTGTTCAGATCCGAGAAACTACCTTCATGCCACATAAAGACCTCTGGGCCAGGCAAGGAGCAGTCAACAACACTGTAGCTGGGCAAGTGCGCACCTCATGCACGTGAAAGAGAATGAACTCACTCTCACGTCGACACTTCATCTCCTGGAAAGGCAGCGTCTCTAACGCCTGGCATAAACGCTTGACTGGGAGATACTAAACTGGAGAAATAAAGTCCAACACTTGACATAGCCAACAAAACTCTAAGACAAAGAAATGGTGAGGTAGAGCTGACAGAGCTCAATTAAAGTTTTTGAGCACAGACCTTTTGGCACATCCTAAAATTAGACTCCCTACTGAAGCTCCTCTGTCAGATCCTACACAGTGCTGGCAACTTAGGAGTCCTTGGATCTACTTAGGAATTGTCTATGTAAAGCTAACAGAATAGTCTTTTGAAGAAATCCATTCCTGGCACGTTAGCATAGTTATCCCAATATTGAAGCAAATAAAAACAATGCTACCCGTTTGCTGAATTTATTTAAACAAATCAATTTAGAAATATCATAGAATTAAACAAAACGTCTGACATGTAAACTTACTGCCATGTTCCTGAAACAGATGTTAACACCTGATAAGAGTTAATAATCGATTGTTAGGAAAGCTGTCCATTAATAAGGCCAGTCTTCAGCAAAACTAAAACCATTTTGTTTCTTTAGCTTTCCTAGACCGACAATGCAATACTATCAAACCACAATCAAATATAATAAAGACAACATTGGATGGATAGATCAGTACCATTGGTTACAGCTAAACAGTTTCATTCTTGGCGCCACATAAAAACAAGCCAATCACATCAAATAAATCATGGCTTTTTTTCTTTATCACAATTCACTAAGTGATGTTAATTATGGTCCTTGTCAAACACGTTTGGTAAAGGCTATTTACAGTGTACATGGCTGAGCATGCACTATTTATAGTTACAAAGATACCTGCCAGTTTAGTACAATAGTTACACAGTGCCTGAAAATGGTGAAACAGCTCACACAGCATTTAAATCAATACAGTTTCAAGCAGGAAACGTTCCTTATTTGACCATGATTGCAATAATTACATGAAAATTCTTATAAAAACACGAATCCCCTTCAAGAAATTGATGCATATTCTACGCACTACAGGTTAAGGCAGTAAAAAAATGTATTCCTGATAACTGGAGGTCTTGACAATGTCAATTAAAGCTGTCTGACTCTAGCTGTTCATTCTCCATCATATACTCAGAGTTCTGTCTATAGAACTAGTTTGTGAAAGATTTCATTTTTATAGTCAAAAAAGTGTTCGTAATGAAGAGATGGCGCTGGAAAACAAGTAACTGCTAGGGAAAGAAAAAACAGAAGTTGCATTTTGCCTGAAAGTTTTCAAATCATAAACAAGAGCATTCTTTGAGTCTCATCTTTAAAAGTATTGAACAAGTACATATAGTTTACCATTCTTAATTTAAAATACATGGTACTTTGAACAATTCAAGTAATGTAAGACTATCAAAAATAAGTTCATACGTCGTGTCAACTGCATTTTCAATGTTTTAATTAAGAATTTTAAAAATTGTAAACTAAACCATGACAGTTTAGTTAAATAAATGATGACTTTTTATTTGCACTTGTGATTCCTTTAATACAAATTGCTACCAACAAATATGTAAAGATATGGCAGATTATGCATTTGATCAAAGCACTTTAAGCATAAAACAGATTCAAATGGTGTAAGTTCTGTGCATAAGATCCAGGAAGCTGCCTACGGACTTGCAGGCACCTCTCTCTAATCAGCATCCTTACTCTTCGGCTGCAGATGAGACAGGGCATGATCTGTTGTAAACAGGGCACTGCTGTAAAACCAGGATAATATTCTTAAATTAAGATCGTTCTCATTAAATTGAAAAGACTTTCCCCAAGTGTCTTCCAGCTTGTAGTATATTCTGCTGACCTCTTAATTTCATAAATTAACTCTCCTTTGATTCCATTTTTATGGTCGTTGTTCACAGTTTTGTTTTAAAAATTGGTTTAAATTTATATAAAACTCTGTACATGTTCACAAATTATTGCATAAACAGCATAATCTTCAAGACAGTGTTTGCAAACACATGTCCAATTCAGGAAAAGAAAATTCACGTTTCCCGCCTGGCTTTTTTCTTCTTTTTTATCTGTTTGGGAGATTCCCAGCTAGTTTCAGACTTGGCTGAAAGAGGAACGAAAACAAAACAAACAAAAAAACGGAGAAAAAGTTAGGAGGATAGTAAATACTGCTATGTATCAAAAATAGTAGTATCAATGAAAACATGCTTCGAAACCCACCAAGAATGCCTTAGATTTTATGTTTTAACTTTTCAAGTTCTAGTTACATGTCTTAGGTTATTCTATGTCTGCCTTCCTCTTTTTCTTTCAATTCCAATGTATTATTTGGTTTAACCATCTGGATGACATTTTACCAGTTTTGACCTAGGAAAATGATCCTTTAATATGGCTCAAACTAAGTAAAAAAAGTGAAAATGGGTCAAATGGACATTAAAGGTAGATGAGGGAGAAGAGGGGGAGAGGAAAGTACAAAACAATCTGCCCTGGCCGATGTGGCTCAGTGGGTTGGGCACTATCCTGTGCACCAAAAGGTTGCTGGTTCAATTCCCGGTCAGGGACATGCCCAGGTGTGGTCTTGATCCCTGGCAGGAGGCCTGCAGGAGGCAGCCAATGGATGTTCCCTTCTCATATCCATGTTTCCCTTTCTCTCTCCCTCTCCCTTCCTCTCTCTAGAAAAAAAAGAAAAGAAGAAAAGGAACATGTGCACCCTAAAAGGACGGACCAGGGGACAAGGGCAGGTACCGAGTCCTCCTCAGGGCACATCCTTGGCCACCTATTCTCACCTGGAGTGATTTCAGCTCCTTGGCCCTCACAACTGAGTCTGTAAGGCTCCACAGAATTGAGCCTTTACAAAGAAAGGACAGGCTGGTCTATGATCAGAAGTCTAAATGGCTTAGGCTTCTAAGATTGTAACACTTATAAACAGTACAGAGAACACACAAAAGAACCCAAAATGAGATGACTTACTTTGTGAAGGAGGCACACTATTTTGCTTAGTATTTGACTTGGATTTATCTGACTCTTGTAGCATCGGTGGCACTTGGGAAGAGCTCTTGTCAGAATCACTTTTTGATAAAATAATAGATGGCACGGTAGAAACAGCAGGTGGAAGAGTCTTGACAGGCTATTTACGAATACAATTATTTTAGATTTTTGTAAGAAATTTCAAATAAAATTAAATATCATAACAAACAGGCTGTTTAGCAGAAAGTAAATAAAAAGATGGTGTCCAGAAGTAGCACAACTCATGCCTGCCCTCTAGTGACATAACCAAATATATCTTTACTTACAAATAAGGCCGAGACAAAAATGGATGAAGGTTTAAAATGACAGAATGTTTACTGAATCTCAAATAGGAGTAAATAATTTTCATTAACTCTTATATTTTCTTATAAATTGCATAATTTTGTATTTGATAGCAATTCAATGGTTCTGTCCACTTCCCACCAACTCTTAACTCAAAACATTTTCATGTGAAAGACAAGAAAAGGGCTAATTTCAGAGCTATCAGTAGGCAATACCCCCCTTCTCAGAGGTAGCGATACCTCAAACAGCAGCAGCAGCAGCTTCAGTTTCCTACTCAAGGAAAAGAGATGACCCCACACAAAAGCTGACTACGGCTGCTAGTTCTGCCAATAAAGTAACTTAAACTCAGGTCCAAATCTGAGTTTCATCCAGTCTGGTGTGAAATCATGATGTTTAGGGCCTGGACTCCTGAGCCTTGCTTCTCCTCAACTGATGAGCAGAAAGGAGTTAAACAAACTGAGTTGTCTCACTGAGGCATGTTAATGAACTGTCAAAGCCAGGTAATAAAAGAGTCTCCAATATTTGGAGTGCCCCGAGACTTTAATAGATGAGTAGGAGATCATCCCACCCTTGAGATTTACCTGTGATTGTTATTTTGAATGTAGAGAAAAGGTTAAGTAATGGTTCCCTTGCCCTTTGTTCTTCCAAGCTTCATGGATTCAAGCAAGCACAATGGGAAAGGAAACAAAAGGAGGGAGCCCTGTGCACCTAGATAACGGCTGGGCTTCTTTCTTCCTGCTGCAGGTATCTGAAGCTGCATTTTTATTGTTCCATTCAGTTTTCTTAATGTTCCCCGTATTCATTTCATATCCCAAAGTTTTATTCCTTATTTTTAATCTCCTTTCCTCCTCTGTTCTCTCACTTATTTATCTACATTAAATCACAAAAAAACTCAAATATTCTTTATAAGATGGCTTCTGAAAATAACAAGCAAAACATCAAAACGTCAAAGGACCCTCTGTAGTCCTACTATTAAACCTATGAGTGTACTGAGATGCATCCTTTTATCTCAAAGTACTCTCAGGGAAAGAAAAGCATCGAATCCAAGTAGAAAAAATGGTTTAAGATTTTGTTTTAGTACAACACGGTTACAGATTCTTTCTCTTAGTGGTAACCCAGGTTCTTGTCTAAAGCTGTTTCACGAAGCATGTAAGGTCCCCAAAGGCAGAGGTATTGTTTCCTTTGTTCTCTGACATATCTTCAGAACCTAAGTGTGTGGCATAAAGTTCCCAATAAATTTTTGTGAATGAGTAAATACATGAACTGTGCAACCCCAGTAGGAGTTTGAGAGGTTGGACCATAGTCATATCATGTGCATGCTTTGGGGGAAATGCAACCAGTCAAGTTTTCTCTAGGCTCTCTCTCAATCCCTGTATGCCTAGATATTTAATAAGAGAAAACACAGCCTAGCAGGTCTGGTTTTGCCATTGATAGTTATGTGACTTTGGAAAAGTTTATTCAACCTCTCTGACCTTATTTACATAATGGGTCCTACCTTTCTCGTAGGGTTGTTGTAAGGAATGTATTATTTTGAGTATTTTAAATACTTAGCACAACACTTCAATACAATATTTATTATAATACAATTCTCAAGTCATCAAAATTTTATTCCTTAAGTATCAAAAAAATCACCTGGCTATTTTTGATGATTGCTTCTGCTGGATCACTAGTGCTTATTGTTTTCAAAGAAAACGCTTTTTCCTGTTTTGGACGGACTTTAGAGGTATTCACTGGAAGCTCTTCTCTAATCTCTTTTTCTAATTCTTCTGGGTCCTACAGAGAAAAGGTCTATTAGATGATATAAATCACCCATTTTTTACTAATTAAAATCTATTTGGTTTGTTGTACTGGACAGAAGATATTCCAAAAAAAATAATTTTAGCTCAGAAACTGTTCAAACAGCTTAACAGAGCACATACAAACAATTATTCAAAGGTTTATAATACATAGATATATTTGGAACATACATTCATCATCCCTGCTTTCCTCGGGTATTTAAATCAATTGTGAATTAAAAACACAATACACTCACATCTCAAAATGGGAACCATTCTAAATTTACTAAACCAACTCAAGTAGAATAAACTAGTATTTTTTTCTTTTAAGAAAAAGTACATAGTGGCCCTGGCTGGGTAGCTCTGTTGGTTAGCATGCTGTCCCAATACACTAAGGTTGCGGGTTTGATCTCTAGTCAGGGCGTGTACAAGAAGCAATCAACGATGCATAAATAAGTGGAACAAATTGATGTCTTTCTCAAAAAACAATAAAAAATAAAATAAAAAAGTGCACAGTGAATTACTTGATACTTTAACTTAGACTTTAGAACCAGCATTTCTCTTAATGACTTCCTTTAGAAACGAAAAATTTATATATAAATGCATTTTCTAGATAAATTAAGTTTACATAGTAGAAAGGACAGAGATAGAAATTTCAATTTTGGCCACCACACAGTCTATTTGTATAATCTCAACGACAAATCATTTAGTTTCTGCAAATCTTAGTTTCGCCAACTATAAAATTTGCTCTGATAATTTCTAAGGTCCTAACCAAGTTGTAACATTTCCATTCTTAGGCCTTCAGACTTAAAAGGCTGGGGAAAAAAAAAATTCTAAAGCACACTACATGTTAAGGTATGTGAAATAAGTATGAGCTAGAATATACTAAACAGGATCATCACTGTGAATTGTACTGTTCTTTAGCAAACTCATTTATAATGATAAATGGCCATTTTATTTTAAACAACTGGCTAAAGTATCTTGAAAGTTTTCTTCCAACACTGATATTCTATAAAACTGTTCAGAATGATAGTGAGTTTAGACAGCTATTCAAAATTTTGTTGTGAAATTAAGTTGAGCAAGTAGCTGTGGAAGTACGTATGCTAAGATACTCAATCTGTACAATGAGAAGGCATCAGCTGGTTCTATGCTAAGTTGAACTCAACGGTAAAAAACCCACAAACCACATACCAAAAACTAAACAGAACTTTATTGAAAAAAAAAGGAGAAATTCAGGAACTGCAATCATTTATGGGAAGGACAGTGTGCACATACTCGCACAGAACCTCACGGGTACCTATTCAAATGACGAAACTGAGGTTTGAAGGAAGGTCTGACTCTAAATCCTCTTATTCACTATATTTTAAAAAGTAGATCAAACTTTTTAAAAAAGGAATATCACCAAAATGCCAAAGGAACTTTCATAATTTAATGACCTTTTCCAATAAGTTGAAATTTATAGAATACATCAATCCCTCAAAATTACTTTTAAAAAGAACTCACCTAATCCACAAGCCAGAAAGGCCGTAATCGAGTCACAGAAATCCAGGCAGTTGGCTAAATGGATTTCAGACGGCATTGCTAACAAAGAATGGTTGTCTATAGCATTTCTCATCAGTCAGCTTAGCGAACAGGAAAAGTGCACCTATTATGGTTTTAGATTTTTATATCCATTGATCTTAGTCACATTAGCCTTAATGCCCACCAATTACTACTACAGAGAAAAAGCTAATAGTGATAATGAACTGGTATCATTTATGAAGGGCTGTGTCTCCCACAACAGTAAAGAACTAAAGGCCTGTTTCCTTAGAATGCCAGGCAGCCACTTCCTCCAGGACAGACCACCAGAGGGGAAGCCATGAGGACCATCCTCAAGGAGCTCTGCCGTCTCCTACACGCAGAGGAATGGAAACAATGATCCAACACGGCCGTGAGGAGGAGATAAGGTTCTCCTAAGTTGTAATGCAATGGTCACATGGTGCTTTCAAAAACAAATCCATGCATATTTCTAGTAACATGGTATGTGTGACATTAAAATATTTTTGTTTTCATCTATATTATAATCTAAAGATTTCCCCGAGAGGAAAGACCAAAGAAAAGAAAAGGAAAATGATGGAGCAACAGGAAGTTTCTGTTAGAAGCCAAACAGCAGGAAAGGATACGAAGTGGAAAAGTCAGTCAGTCAAGTGAAAGCCCCATGAGCTCTGACCACGCCTTTTCTCACTGTGCTGCTCCCATCTGCTAAATTCCAGTCACTCAAAGGGAATTTCTGTACGTGTGAAACACTGTATGTGCCTCCTCCATTTCAGCACAATATAAACCAAAACCCATCTGGACTCATTCAGAACTTTATTTACTTCTGGGTTTACAACTTGAATATAATTTTTTGGGGGGGCAACAAAGGTTTTCTTACAGTATGTTGTATGAAATCTTTGAAACCTTCTGTGAATTTTCAAATAAACTTGATGTCTTCTACTGTGTCTTTTCCCTCTACACACTCTTGGCACCTGCCTGTTCTTTCCCCGCCTGGGCGCCCCCTACCTGTGCGGGGGAGCTGTCCTCGCCCTGCTTCCGCCTCCTCTTCTTCTTCTTCCTCGGCTTCCCGGAGGACAGGGCGCCCTCGCCCTTTTCTTTATCGTCATCCGAGACCTGATGTGAAAAGCAAAAGTGCTAAAGTGGACCAATCAGTTTAGTCTTCATTTTTCAGAAAAGTATGATGAGGTAATTTCATTTATTAGGTTTAGTCTTTATTTTAAATACTAAATAAGAATTAGTAACAAGCAATAAAATGGATCTAAAATTGTATCTTAATAAAGTAGGGAACTGCATTTTCCTACTATCTATGATTGACCACTTTTTCTTAAATCTTTCATTGTGAAGAACTGTGCAAATCTTGGTTTTAAAAAACTCACTGGATAGGTAATTCTGTTTTATTTCAGAGTTTGAATGCAGAACTATTTGCATTAAAATTGAATTGGGCCCTGTTAAGAGGATGACAAGCTACAGAGTGGGACAAAATATTTGCAAACCACATATCCACCAAGGACTTGCATCTAGACTATATAAAGAACACTCAAAATTCAACAGTAAAAAAACTAGCAATCCAATTAGAAAATGTGCGAAGATATGAACAGACATTTCATGAAAGAAGACAGATGGCAAAGAAGCACATGGAAAGACGTTCAATATTATTAGCCATTAGGGAAATGCAGACTAAAAACGACATGCCTATCAGAATGGCTAAAATAAAAAAGAACTGGCCGGGTAGCTCAGCCAGTCAGAGCATCATCCCAATATGCCAAGGTTTCGGATTTGATCCCCAGTCAGGGCACATACAAGAATCAACCAATGATGCACAAATAAGTGAAACAACAAATGACGTTTCTCCCTCTTTCACTTCCTCTCCCTCTCTCTAAAATCAATTTTAAAAATTAAAGGAAAAAAAATAGTGACAACAGCAAGTGCTGGCAAGGATGCAGAGAAATTAGATCACTTGTGCATTCCCAGTGGGACTATAAAGTGATATAGCCGCCTGGAAAAACAGGCAGTTTCTTAAAATATTAAATATGAAGCTACCATACAACTCAGGGATTGTACTCGCAGGCATTTATTCCAGAGAAATGAAAACTTATATTCACATAAAAACTGATACATGAGTATGTACAGCAGCTTTATTCATAACACCACCAAACTGGAAAGAACCCAAATGTCCTTCAACAGGAGAGTGGTTAAATACAGGCATACCTCAAGATACTGCAGGTTCGGTTCCCGACCACCATTATTAAGCAAGTATCGCAATAAAGTGAACTGTAATCTTTTTGCTGGTGGAGGGTCTTGCCTTCAGTTTGCAAAGAAATGAAACATCTGTGAAGTGCACTAAAGCGAAGTGCAATAAAACGAGGTGTGCTGTAAATTGAGCAGACCATGGACTACCACTTGAAAGTAAAAAAGAAGCAACTAATGACACATATGACATCTGGAAGAGTCTTTAGAGAATTATGCTCAGTGAAAAAACAGTACCAAAAGGTTACATAATATATAAATCTATATATAGAACATTCCTGAAATGACAATATTAGAGAGACAGAGAACAGATTAGTTACTACTGGTTGCTAGAGGCTTCAAAAGGGGGCAGAGATGGGAAGGAAGAGATGGCTACGAAGAGGGCAACCTGAGCTATCCTTGCAGTGATGGGAACGAGCTGTCTCTTGACTGCATCCATGCCAATATCCTGCTTGTGATACTGAACTACAGTTTCCAAGATGTTACCACTGAGGGACATTGGGTAAAGGGTACAGGGGATCACTCTGTGTTATTTCTTACAAGTGAATGTGACTTTCTAAACATCTCAAAATAAAAGGCTTAATTAAAAAGTCAAATCTGAGAATGTCATTGAAAATAACATTCTGCATGACAAAAACAGTGAATTAGGACTGTTAAATTACTATTATTAGTATTGATATCTCTTCACATATAACACAGGTGAATTTTCTATGGAAAAGTGCCTTTTGTTTATTCTGCACAGGTGACAACCAAGATCCCTAGACTATCCTTATGGAAAGAGATGATATGGGTACCTGCTATTTCTCTGTTCAGCACCATAGTCATTAGGATGATTCTGGAGGTCTCATGAACCACCAAATAGTTTTAAAAAATTATTAACAGAAAGAAAAACAAAACAAAACGCTGTACAACTTAGCTAACTATAATCCAACCGTAAAAGAAAGGTAGTCCTGCACGGCAAAACACTATTTTTGTTCATGGGAAACAGGAGGAAATCAACTCCATACCATCTTTGAACTCAGATATTCCAAAAAACTTAAAATTCCTTTATACCCCTTCTCAACCCCATTCCCACACTACCCTAGGGGTCCATTATCATGAACGTCTTTTGTATTCACCTAATCAATTTTTCTATAAAGTTATGTCTCCCCACACACAAAATTTGCAAAACTGGCATCACTATTGTATTTTCTGTAACTTGCTCTTCATCATTCGTTGAGATTTTAGTAATATTGATATATTAATGTAGCTTTAAGTCATTTTAAAAAATCTGTCAATAGGCCACTGTACAAACAGACCACATTTTATTTATCCATTCCCCAACTAATGGGCATTTAGACGGCATTCCATTCTTGCTTAGAAATGTAAAAGATGGTCTCTGAATATACTCAAAGAACTGCTGTGATATGTGACAGCCTGCGCCACTCAGTGGTTCCACTGTTAAATTCTGATGATCAGGCATGCGGAAGTTCCAGTGAGAGAAACAGACTTTTAGTTGTACATTCACTAAACATTCAATAAGTATCAGAATGATTCCTGTATGCTAAGGTACTATATACTAGGAAGCTTTTTTAAAAAGTAGACTTTATTGTTTTTAGTAGTTTTAGGTTCACAGCAAAATTGAGAAGGTAGAGATTTCCATATACCCCCTGCCTTCCACGTGCGCAGGCTCCCCCCCAACTGCCAACATCCCTTCTGAGTGGCACATGTTACAACTGATGAACCTACGCTGACACATGATCCCTCAAAGTCCACAGTTGACATTAGGGCTCGCTCTCGGTGTTGTACATTCTATGGGTTTCAGTAAATGTATAGTGACATGGATCCACCATTACAGTATCATACAGATTAGTTCCACTGCCCTAAACACCCTCTGTGCTCTGCCCACTCACCCCTTTCCCCCAGCTCCTGGCAACTCTAGGAAAGCTTTTGTAGGTCCAATCTAAAATTCATTATTTTCCCCCCCTCAGGCTTTCATTTTACCCAGTAATGTTCCCCTCTACATTTATTTACACCCTTAGTAGTAAATCCCATTAGGACCTCTCCCTCTGGTCCCTGAAGATGAGAGGTACTACATAAATTAAAGGCTAACCCACAACCCACTTGTGCCTAAGGTTCCCCCACCCTTACTGCTAGGATCTTATTCTAGTAGTCACATCTCTCTCATTTATATTTAACTTTTGCTGACCCCTACACTAAAGTATCTCCTATCATTAAAATACAAAAAAACCTCCTAACAAAACCCTTCCTGATACCACAGTTTGCTATCATCCACTACCTCCTCTCCATTCCTATCCAAACTTACTTAAAAACCTTATACTTGTCATTACTATAGCATGTCCCCCCAAAATGTATACACACACACTTTGAATAATTATAAAGGCAGTGTTTCATTTTCAAAATTGCGCTATCAGTTGTTAAAACGTGTATACATTTTGGGGGGGGCACCCTGTATTTTTAACCCTCATTTACTCAATTACTGCAATATGGCTACTATTTCTAATGAACTGCTTTAAATTACCAATGAGCAAATATCTCGGCCGCTGTGATCCAGAACTCTCCTTTCCTCAGTCTCTTTCATGGGTTTTTATTTCTCCTTAAAAGTCAGGAGTTCCCCAAATTTCTATACTCATTCCACTCATTTTTTCAACTCTATAGATTTTTCCTAGATTCACTCACCCTCAAAGTTTTACCCACCATATACTGGCAACTTCCAAACACAAGTCTTTTCCCTAAGCTTTAACCTAGTATGACCGACTTCTCTTAGGCGTAACTGCAAAACACCCCATATTTAACATATCCAAAACTGAACCACCACCTTTCCCCCAATTAATTAGCTTTGGCTTCTATATTCTCTCTGTTGGGAGCACCACTTCCACCTTCCCAATCGTCCAAGCTACAATCCTGGAAGCATTTTTGATGACTCTCCATTCAATTCTAATCACATGCTCTGTTGATTTCACTTCAATTTATTTTCAAACCTGTCCTCTACTCCATATACCATTCTTACCATTACTGTCCCGGGCTCCTAAACCACCTTTAAATTGGTCGTCCGTCCTGCCTTCATTCACATATGCCTCCACTCCTTTTCCTACATGGACGTTACATTCAAGGACTTCTGGAATCCTGTCCGTCTCCCTCTCCAATCTCATTTCCGTGTTTTTCATCACATTCTGCTCTTATCTCTAGGATGCCTTTGCTAAAACTCCCAAGTGCTTCCATAACCATCAACACATCCTGTGACACTGCTCTCATCTGCTGAGGCACCTGACCAGACTGCAGCTCCGTGAAGGCAGTAACTAAGTCTTATCTTTGTTTCTCCACTAGCACAATACCTGACCCATGTTAGATGCTCAATTAACATTTGTTGAATATTAATGGTCCTATTACCTTTAGAGCCTCTGAGTTTTCACCCATATTCCTATAACCAACCATTAGCAAAGTTTGATCAGTACCTTTAGGTCTTTTGTAAATACCACTTCTTCCATTTATTTTTCAAAGCCATTGACTTAGTTCCTTATCTTCTAACCCGATTCATGGAATGATCTCTTTAATGCTTATCCTAAAAAGTACAAAACAGCCTCCCAAATTGGTCTTCTTGTCTTTCCACTATACCCAGCCTAATTTTTCCTAACCCTAGTGATGAGAAATTATCCCTAGTTTAAAAGCTGTCAACAGGTTCTCATTCTTTATAGAATTCCATAAAAATGTGGCCAGGTATATATACATTTCCTTTCATCTATTCATTCATTTTACTGAATGCCAAGCATGTTGTTAGAGCTACAAAAACAGAAACTGCATGGTCCCTTTCTTTAAGGAATGCAGCCCAGAAGGGGGAAGACATGTAAATAATCGATCCTATCACCAGTTCATTCCACGTATGTGTACTATTTACCTCTCCACCAAACCTGTCACTATTTGCCTGCCTTGGTGCCTTTTTCAAGACGTTCTCAGTCTTGTCTGCTACTATGAAGCCTTCCTTAATCTTTCATTGGAAACCAATTTACTCTTTTCTAAAACACATTAAGAGTTGGTAGGCTATTATAATAATTCTGGTAAGAGGACAGGAAATGGTGTTTGTTTTCTTATCAATGTCTAATAGTGATTTCCATATAGGGCCCTCAATAATTGGGGGGGGGGCACAACAGTGATATGAAGGCATGCAGGAAAACAATGACTGAAGTACGTATGATCAGAATGCCTCCCTGAAGCAATCTGGATATAGTTATAATATGGATGGTATCCCCTAATAATTCTAACATTGGGTGTAAAGAAATAAGAGACCCGCCAATCCCTTTACTCACTTTTTGATCATCAGGAATTGGCTCCCGGGACTTTAGGAGTGAAGCTCTTTCTTCATCTACCCAATTCCCCCACTCTTCTGCTGGTGCATTCCAATCAGAGCTGGGGTCAGCAGAAGACAGACCATCTAAAATTTAACAGTGTGAATTAGGTAGCTATCGTTTCTGCCAAAAACTAATATACAAAAATTAAAATTCCTTATGTTGAACTAAGCTGTAATTTTAACTACTGTTCCTTCTCCCAAGCACATTTTAAAAGCTAGAAAAAAACCCAGTAACATGATGGTAAAAAAACCTTTTCCCAACTTCTACTGGGCACATCATAGGGCAATTTATGTGGAATTTCTAAGAAACTACAGAAAACTTATGAATTAACTATTTAATTCCATTCTCCCCACTTCCTTTGGTATCAGTCTCCTGAATTTGCTCTCTTTTCATTGTTTAGGTCTAATATGGTCTAAAACCTGGTCATTTCTCTGTCCTGATTATTACAACATTTTTTTGTAATTGATTATTTTTCTAGGGTACAGAATTAGTCAATTTTTAACCACAGTACCAAAACTACACTCCCCACCTGTCATTTCCCCTATACTCCCTTCCTCACGAGCTTTTCAAGATTAGGTTCTTCTTTAAACTCACTAAGTCATGACAGAATGCTTGACCCCCCTTCCCCTCCTCTTTCAGTACAAGTAGCTCTCAAAGTTAACCCTTCCATGCTCTCCCAGGATGTCCTACACACCTGCATATATACTCCTGTATATATCAACTTGCAGTCAGACTTATGTAGCCACAACTTATGGTCAGGCTTCACTTACACTGGTTTAAGATGACAAAGGTTAGACCTTATTTTTAAACAGGTAACAAGTCTAGAATCCTAATACTGCTTTATTGACAAATCCAGTCTTTTCCCACTAATGCCAAATGCTTCTTTAATCAAACACTAAATTCTTTCATACACATTTCAGTATGTTTCTGAAATTTCTATTCTATTCCACTGATCTATTCCTGGGATAGAGTCATACATAATAGAACTCTGGAATCCATTTTAGTATCTAGGAAAACAAACCTGCCAGCATTACTCTTATTTTCTTTGCTACTCTTAATTTTCTACATGAACTCTATTACAGTATTTTTGTTTAAAGGGAGGTATTATGACACGTCCTCATGAAGGCGTTAAAACCTATGTTTTCAAAGGGTATGGGAAATATGATCTGCGGAAAACCTCACAGAAAAAAAAAATCATGGACATAACTGTCTATACAGTATGATCCCAAATTTACACAAGGAAGAGATACAAAATAATACATAACAATAGATACGTCCTAACAGTGGAATTACAAGAATTTCGTCTTACTAAGCACTTACTATGTACTAGAACTTGAGCAAGGGAGGTACCAGAGAACCAAAGATCAGTATGACATAATCCCACCCGCCCCATGGAGCTCAGTCTGTCTACTCAGGGATGGAGAGAGGTAAGTACGACAGACAGACAGACAGACCCTGTCGCACAGGGTGTGAAGAGTGGCTAAACCAGTAAAGGATGGGGAGACTGGAAGTGTAAGAAGATACAGCTGAGTGGAGGAAAAACATGGAGCGAGTGGTTACAAGTGTAAAATGTGTTCCAAAAATTAAGTCCCTTCCTGTATTTCGGAATTTACTAACATAAGCAGGCATCCTGAGCCTGTATTACAGACCATTAAAAGGTATGAGGTTAAGGAGGAGTTTACAGCCCCGGCCGGTGGCTCAGTTGGTTGGAGCGTCATCTGTACACCAACAGGTTTTGGGTTTAATTCCTGACTGGGCTGCGTATGGGAGGCAAGTGATCCACATTTCTCTCCCTTCCTCTCTCTAAAACATACCCTCAGGTGATTTTAAAAAAGGGGACCTTTCAAACAATTCTACATATTTACATATGAATACTGCTCTTAATAACTATGTGATTTAATACTTAATAACTGTGATTTCTGTTAAATTTCTTAACCATAATAGGCTATACATATGCTAACGTCATAGGATTGCTGAGAGGATTATATGAGATATATGTAAAGGAGTTTATAGCAATGCAGCAAGTGCTCAGTAAGTGGTAGTTATTGTTTTTACATCAGAAAACCAGTTTTTAAGCTATCAGGCATATACAATTAAGAATTTATTTTCCATAATCCTGATAAATCTCTCAAGATACACTGGTATGTATTAATGTAGAAATCATTTTTACAGGTATAAAGGAATCTAGTAGATGTCTAGAACCAACTGCTCATCTTATACCAAGCATTCATTAACAATACTGTTGGGAGATTTGAATGCCAAAGCTGTAACCTCACAAATAAGAAACCCAGATTTGGAAAATTGCTGTCCGCAAGCCAGATTTCTAAGGCCTCTTGCCAGATTAGAAACTTTATTTTCTTTTATTAAGAAAACAAGTTTAGGCAAGTGAATGGGCAATATGTTAACATATAAACTATTCTCTTAATAAATGTGGTATGTGGGGGTGGGGAATAAAAATCTAGTGAAGTACGTAGTAAATATATATATATTTAAAGGCTTAGATGGCCACAAAGTTTGGGGATTAACTGTACTGTGGTTTAATTTCTGTAAGAACATTAACAGAAGCATAATCTCCATTGGCTTTATAAAACTTTATTGGTGATTTTTCCATGTTTATTGATCTCAGGGTTTTTTGGTGTTTTTTTTTAATTAACTGGGATCAAATGAAACTACTTTAAAACAACAGATCAATCAACCTAAACCTAAAAACTGTCACCAGGAGACTTCTCAACACACAGTTCTTAAGATGCATGGGCCTAATGTGCTAATAAACTTCTTAGACAGAGTTTCCTTAAAACTGCACAGGATAGCTTCATTCAAAGTATAGGTCTCTTCATTTATAAATAGAGCAATTTCTTATTTCTCAAAATTCCATTAGTTTGCGAATGTCCTTTCGAGAACCGTATTAGCTGTCTTCAAAATAGTAAGCAATTTGTCTTTCCATTTAATTCGCTTGTGGAATAATGTTTTAGGTTTAAGCATCTCATAGCTAATCTCTATTTATCTCAGTAAGAAAATGGCTGTCAGCTGCTTCTTATGAGAACTTAATTCAGTATTAACGTTAATAAAACACATCCATTATGTTAGAAAGACATTCTCCAGTGTTTAAACACACAATACTAATTAACTCCAGAGCAAACTAATTTTTCCCCTGGAAGAAGATATCGACAACAGCACCACAGCACATGCTGAATATTTACTAGATTAGAATACCAGGCAGGTCTAAGTGCTTTATATGTATCACATCATTTAATCCTCTCAACAACTCTGTTGGGGGGAGAGAAGAACTACTATTTTTACAGATGAAACTGAGGCATAGAACCAACCCGTACCTGCCTAAGGGCAAAGGCAAAGAAGTGAGATTTGAGCCCAGGCAGTCCTCAGAGCTCATGCTCTTAACCCCTTCACTCTGTGGTGCCAACAGAAACACAGTTCTGTTTTTATAGCATTATGATGATGACGCTCTTTTATGGTCAAGATAATTGATAGACTAACATCTGCCCTTAAAAAATAAGGTGCTGTACTTTAGCATCTTAACCTTATATTCAAGTGCCTGGGTAGAATCAATGCCTTTTTGTCAGATAATGATGTCTATGCCTCAAACATCATTATATTAATGATGGGTCAATATATTAATCATATTATACTGTTAAATGTAAAGCTAGTGTGTGTGTATATAGGTATGTATATATACACACACACACACTTTGTGGATTAGTAATCTCAAATACTAAATCATGCCCTCTACAAATTTAGAAGGAACAAGTAAATTCACGGAGTACCGAAATTAGCCACATTAAAGATGATAACACACAAAATGAAATTCAGAGGAAATGAGGTTTAGAGAGTAACTTTGGACTTAAAAGACTGCCAAATCAGCATTACACGCTTGAGAAAGGTGGTGCTCCTGAAACTTATTACTTTAAGTACAGAGCCATGTGGATATATGTTTTTTCAGTCTTTTATTTTAGCAGCCAATTATATTTCTCATATTACAAGAATTCTTCAAGAGATGAAAGAGGAGCTGTTCTACCCAAGTTGAGAAGCCCAGACCCTTGTTTGCTCAGTTTTCCTCAGCCTCAAACCACAGTTGCCCAAGACACCACACTGCTACTTTCTTACAATCATGCCTATTGTTTTTAAAATCACTCCTCAGTTCTATTTGGCACATACCTGATCATTCTTCCCAAAATACAGATAGACTATATTTTCCAAAAACAGTGCTTCCCATCTTTGTAATAACTTGGATTTATAAGAACTTTATAATTTACAAAGAGCTTTCATTTTCATTCAATACCTCATTAAAACCTCTCAATAATCTATGGAAGTAGACATGACAGATTACTTGCTCCATTTTACAACTCAATTAATCTAGATTCCAGGATAAGTGACACAGTCCAAGCCACATAAGGTACTATATCTTCAAGTCAGGACTAGAACTAGGATACATGTTCTAAACTAGTAACTCCAACCCCCGGCTTCCTCATCTTTAGTCAGCAATTCAAGGCTTTTCACAATATGGTCCTCCCTAATCTACCTTTCCAACGCCATCTCCCTTAATCTCTAAGAATTGTGCTTCAACTAATCTATAATGGAGACTAATCAGTGTACAGACAAACCCTTGTGCTGTTTCAAACATACCTTCATGATCACAATCATCACCAAGACTATACCACGTAGTAGTTAAAAGCATGAACTCTGGAGCCAGGCCACCAAAGTTTGCTACTATCATCTCCTCCACTTAACTGTAACTGTGTGGCCTGGGGAAAGTTAGTAACTTTTCTTTGCCTCCGTTTCTTAATATGGTAAGTATGGAAAAGACGTGTTAACACCCACCTCATGGAACTGTTACAAGCATTAAATTAACAGTAATTGTAAGACTCACAGCAGGGCATGGCACATGGCCGCTTGCTTTTATCATCTACTGAACAACCGCGTAAAAAGCGCTGCTCTAAGTACTGAGGATAAAAGAGGAAGAGTTCCTATCTTCAGAGTTTCAACTCTACTTGAAGAAACAAAACATATTCTTTAAAAGAAAAAATTTATAAAGGCCAAAATGGTAGAAAATTCTAAAAGGTAAATGCTAAATAAATAAATAATGTGCCATAAAAATTCTGAGAAAGGGGTAAATTCTGAGGTTTGGAGTTGAAGGGGAAAAAAAAAATCTAATAATAATAAAAAGATGGTATGAGCTTTCTGAACATAAAACCCATAGTATTTTTCCCTTCCTCTCTCTTTTTTTTTTTTAATAACTCTTGCCTTTAACCTTTTTATACTTCTATTAGAAATTAGGCTAAACAAATGGTTTTTCTACCAATAAAAAACCTTGTACGCCTCACAAATTCAGCCACTCCTGCATATTCTAGAACATTCATCTAAAACAAAATCTGAAAAACTCAAGCAGCTGTAAGAAAACTTCATGTTTAAATATCATCTCAACCATAAAAAGCGAATTTAGGTTTAATTTTACAGGTATTCAATAATCATTTTACAAGTAGTATACTTGGTATTAAATTATATTACTGTGACCTAAAAGGTGAAAAAGTAGGATTAAATTAAAACATAAAGCATGAATTCAGGAAGCTAGAAAGAAAATTCTGAAAAAGAAACAAAAAACAAACAGAAACCCCCCAAAAACTGATAAATTTTTAAAAGGACATACTTAACCCAGACCATTCATCATCGATATAGGGCTGATTACGGCTAACATCCCACTGATAATCAGAAGTGGTAGCCTGAGAAACTGGCTCAGCGGTAGACCCTTAAATGAAAACGAATGCAATAAAATTAAAAATGGAATTTTCTAACGATGTTTCATAACAATAGTTCTATACTTTGCATACGGACTTAATTTTTTTTTATTTCTCCTAAAAGAAAAAACTCAGACATTATAAGAGTTAAGATAAAGGAAAAGTAAAATTAAGGGTCATTTTAGATTAAGCATAATCACTTGATCTAATTCACTAATCAGAAATATATTTCTCCCTAGTACCAATCTATTAGTGTTTTCATAATATATTCTTCAAACTAGTTATTTATACATTTCAAAAGGTCAAAAAAATTTTCTCTCTCTTCTCAGTTGAAAATAACCAAGCACAAAAGAAATCCTGGGTGTTTCAGGGTAGCCTATGTCCTTAGAACCCTGAAGGAGAGACCTAGAAAATGTCTGAGTTTGCTAGAACTTTCTGCCTAAAGAAAAGTTAGAGAAGAGACAGATGATTATTCTAGAGAGTTGAGGGAATGAGAAGCCAAAGAGATAAGAGAGTTATGCTGCTGGTTTAGACCAAGTTGAATTCAGGGGCATCTAATGGGAAGAGAATATACAGTTGACCCTTGAACAATATGGGCTTGAATGGCGTGGGTCCACTTATTCATGAATTTTTTTTTCAGTAAAATTCTGTAAATATTTTCTTTCTTATGATTTTCTTAATAATTTTCTTTCCTCTAGCTTACTTTATTGTAAGACTACAGTATATAATATATATAACATACAAAATATGTGTTAACAAAGTATTTATGTTTTCAGTAAGGCTTCCAGTCAACAGTAGGCTATTAGTGGGCAAGTTTTGGGGGAGTCAAGTCACATGCGAATTTTCAACTGGGGGGATAGTGTCAGTGTCCTTAACTCCCAAATTGTTCAAGGGTCAACTGTATTCTAAGTTTTTTCTGTTTTTACTTTTTTTGGGGGGGGAGGGTGGAGAAGAGGTAGGGGGTG